AAATTTATCATATCTACAATTTTTATGTCGTTATGGTGTAATATGACGTCATTATGACGTCATTAATGTTGATTTTATTGGCCAAAACCGTCTAATAGGTTTTTTCCCTGAAAACTCAATGGTATTCAACATAACTGTACCAAAAGTGTTTATGACAGAATATTATTGTGTACTAGGTCTTATGTTGCCCATAGCAACACCGGTGACGTCATAACATGACGTCATGAATACTTAAGATATCCGCCATCTTGGATCATCAATCTTGAATTTTCAAAAATAGTTTTTTTTCATGATAAAGCCTAAAATACATCGTAGACATACTAAAGGCCTTCATTTAAACCTTTTTTGGAAAAAGAAATGGAAGTATTGATGAAATTTCAATGAAAATAACCTGTATATACCTGTTCTAATGATATGGTCCGCCATCTTGGATTTTGGCCATTGACGTCATCAAATTAGCATAAATTATGCATATTTAATGATAAAATTTACATAAAATTATATGGGGTGTTATTAACATTAGAAACCATGAGTAACTTGACATAAAACCCATAAAATTCTATTGTTGAAACAAAAAGTACTAAATTTAGCAAAAAATGCCTGTCAGAAACCCGTTGCCATGGCAACACAAAAAATTATTGTCTTAATCCAATGATAGCAAATTGTTGCCAACAATATTCTAGGAAAAGTCACCAAGTTTGGCCGTTCTACGGATAGCCGTTCAGACGCTAGGTGACATCAAAGTTGCCGCGGGCACTTTTAGCCCCCCCCCCCGGTCTAGGTAGGGTTAAGGTGTTTTGTTCAGTGCATTCCGCCAAAGCCATACCGAAAACATAACCTTCTACGTTTACTAAAAATCCAGGGGAAATTGCCAGTGTGCCTTTCTTTTGCTTTTATGAAGTCTATCCACGCTTCTGTGTGACCTGTACTTATCCCAGTGTGGTAATAGTATGCAATAAAAGTTTTCATTCATAAGGCATTCGCTCTATTTAACCGTGTGCTTTCTACGTTTTGTGCCGCGCGGTGGAAAAGAAGTATTCAAGCAAAATAAATTCACAGTTTATCTTTTATTAAGTCAAGATTGTCCGAGAGGCCCCGACGGCAACAATTTTCACGCATTGTGCTCAGAGTATGTTGGTTTTAGGTGATACCAAATCACATGCGTCGAAAAAAAGTCTCTACGTGAATGTGGTAATTGTGTCAAATAGATAAATAGAAAAGCACACTTTCCCCCAATTGCACTGCATTGGAAACGTCATGGAGGTATTGACAAAGTCTCTTTGTCCTAACTAATATAAATCCTGATAAACTAGGCGAGCCAAACATACAAAGCTTTTTCTTGATGAGTAACGCTACCTGCCAATAAGATATCAATACCATAAAATGTCGAAAACTAAAAATATAAAAGCGGTAGGTTCTGCTGCAGTACCGAGGAAGGCCGCTAGAAAGCTAATAATTGACCTCGACCTTCGTCTTCCCAATACGTACCCACGTACTAAATACCTTATTAACAATCCATACAGGCCTTCTTATGCTGATCACATACATGTATATCCGGAACGCCACGAAGACGACAGTGTTAAAACAAAGTTGACTACACTGTAGAAAGAATGAATGCCAAAGCAAAGACACTGCACCAACTAACCTGGCCTGAAACAGGCCACAGCCGGCCTATAGAGAACGGTCACCAGGCTGGGCTGCTAGAAGCTCCCACATGCAACCCCTGTCACAAGCACAGTCACGAACGTCCCACGAACTCCCACGAACAGATTAAGGCCACGCCCACCTTTTTTTTATGACTCAAAACGAATTTGAGTTGTTCCAAATGTAATCCCTCAACTCGCCCCGAACAATACTGATTTAATCCTGGATGGTTGACTAGTGTTTTGCTGACGTACGGTCGAAAACCAACGAACTATGATCGGACCTACCAAACACCTCACGAATGTTTCGGCTTGTACGGTAGCCAAATTATCCATAGTTTCGGGAGGCCACGTTCGTGAATGTGTAACAGGGGCCTGATGTAGTCGGGCTACTTGTACCTACCTTGTACTTACTCATAATGTACTTACCTTGATGTACTCTTTGAATTTCTGTATGGCGTCCAGCAGTACCGGACCCTGCTCGGTGAACATCCTCTGTAGGATGGGGAACAGGGTCTCCGGGATCTCGTCGTTAGGCAGGAAGCCCGGCTGGACCTGCGGGGGCGGGGCCTTCACCGCCTTCCCGTCAACAACCGTGTAGACATCGGCGGGAGACTCCCTTAGTACGCCGATCATCGTCTCCACCCAGCACGCCACTACGGGGGCGCGGCACCGCATCAGGAAACCTGCAGGATAAACAAACATATTTCATTAGGTCACAATCACCATTGGCAACATTTGCCTCACTATTAATAATGATGCATCCAGATGTTCGTCTTTTCCTGTTACGAACAAAAATTGTGGTAAAAACTGCCTAAGACGATTACCCAGGGGACCTGTAAAATCTGGTCTATAAGAACAGGTGATGACTACAGACAGGCCTTGTGTCAATGACATGTATTATCAAAGAGACCAAAAAAGTGGTCACAGTGGTCACTTGTGTAGATTTCACTGTATATTTACGATAACTATTTTTTTTTTCATCGAAAAACATATACAAAAAGTTCAATACATGGTGGTGGGTGGTGACCACCTTCCTCTACAGCAAAGAATTTGCCAATTTTGTGATTTAGATAAAATTGAGGACGAATGTCATTTTGTTGTCGACTGTACACTGTAAAGAAATGATAGGAATATCATTTGTTGTCTTTCATATCATACTTTTCGTTCCATAAGACTGCCCGACCGGGCCCGGTTTGGAAATGTGACCTCAGCATAAGCTGACCTGGTACGGGGTCCCTGTACAGGTGCGGGTACAGCGGTCCGCAGAAGGCGAAGTCAGCCACACACGGCTTGTCTCCCAGCAGGTACGGGTACCGCGACAGGTGCGTCTGGAAGTCGTCCAGAAACCCCTTATACGACCTCTCGATCTCTGGGATGGTTTCTTCGTTTATTCCTAATATCTGGGGACTATTCTGTAACACAAAGATGTGGGGTCGTGTGGCGTAACGGCAGAGTACTCGACTCGGAATCAAGAGGTCCCGGGTTCGAGTCCTGACATTCCGCCAAACTTGTGCCCTTGGGAAAAGGCATTTTACACGACTTTGTAAAGGTGTCAATGCACCTGTTTTGTTATCCATTCCACTTGTATATCTGGCGGTAAACTCGAATAAACAAATAAACAAAATGTTCTCTCCTATCAGACAAACTCCCCAGGCGTGTTATCTCTCTATTTGGACGAAAATTAGTATTGTACGCCCTGTATTTGTTTCTATGTGTGAGACACAACACCAGCAACAGCTGCCTATGCCCCACGTGTATTGTAACAATTTCAATAAATCAAATCAAAATAAGATGCACATCCTTCAGTGTTTGGTTCATGAATTCAGTTCACTTGGGTTTAATTTTGTATTGATTCAATGCACGTGGTAAATTTACTCTATTTACCATCACGTATATCATAGGTACATGTATATTGAATTACAAACTAGGTGTAATCCAAAATAGATCAAGGAGGTGTAAGAGTTTGTTCGGTGTATAGCGGGCTGCCGCCACGCCACGTGCCTGTGAAGCTGGCGTGTTACCCCGAAGGACGGTTATGTCGACTACACACAAACATGAAGTGTCCAGCCAAAAACTAACACCACGCTGATTTTAATTTTATGGATGAAATCCGCGCGCGCATTGGCTTTCGCCTGTTCTAAAAAATCACGTGCTTAGAGGCTCTGGCCTGTGTGGAAGTCGGCTGCAACTACGGAGAATGGCACCCAGGCTGCCAAAGCTCCACAGAACTCAAGAACAGTCAACTGCAGAACTAGTTTTTTATGTGTTGTACATATTGTAATTGTCGTGAATCTGTATGTTCTGTTTGTACCTACGTTGTATTTTTATGTACTATGTAAGGTTAGCACAATTCAGCGGTCCATAATTTCTTATGAACTGCTGCTATGCTGACCACTGTTTTGAATAAAGAATAACAGTGCAGACTCATAAATGCCACAGAAGGCCCCAAATTTAATAATCACAATACCAACTTTGTATTCCTGTGGCAATTTTCATTCGCCCCCACGCATTAGTTTAGGGGTCTTCAGAGGATCCCATCTGTAAGTCAGTGTCATCTATAAGTCAGTGTCATCTATAAGGTCTCATTCATGTATTACTCCGAGTGTACCCCCTAAAAGAGTACCAAGTCAAAAACTAAACGGCTGTATGAACGAGTGTTTTTATTGGTGAGAATTTTCCCTTTAGCCATCCCAACTGATGTAAAACGTCAAAGCGGTGAAAGCTTGTTTGTAACTGATGAAATTAGGACATAATTGTCGGCAGCCGCGCGCTAGGTCGGACGTGCACAGTCCAGTGTTGTGAGTTGTGCGGTCGTAGGTTTGCAGCGCGGGAGGGCCTCTTGCGGGCAGCCGCTAGTTGCAGTTTGTAATTCCCACAAAAGGGGTTTGTGTGTATAGAAGTCGTTGGCAATTTTTTTATGAGACGTAGAGTAAGTGTGCTTAACATAGCATGAAAGATATCAATTGATTTAATGTAGGATCATAGGGAACACGGTCTCGTAAGTCACTCATTAATGCATGGTTTCTAATGTATGGAAAAAACTCATGAATGAGACCTTAAGTCAGTGTGGCGTGTAAGTCAGTGTCAGTGTCATCTATAAGTCAGTGTGGCGTGACTGAGACTGACCTTGAAGTTCTCGTACGATATGAATCTTTGGGGATTGTCCATTTGTTCCAGGGGCGGGGATGTCGGCGCCGCCGCGCGGCCGAACTGCAGGTCAACAAACTTCCTCTGCTCCATAAACGACCACCTGGAGACAAAACCACAATAATCGCATCTACATGCACAACAGTGCCTATCTTAAGGCGCGGTTCAACATTTCCCAACCCGGGGCCCGGCCGGGCAGTCGTTTTGAACGAAAAACATGATATAAGACAGCAAAACACAAAAAAAAAAGTTTTGGAAAATTAACCATTAGCACTGTTTGTGTATAATCTTAATACAAATTGTTTATTTTACGTTCACGCAGACAACCCGGCCGGGCCCCGGCTTAGAAATGTGACCGTGCCCTAAGCACGTCGGCAGAACGTACTCCACCTGCGCGAAACCCGTAATGTACTGTGCATAGCCTTTGGCAGAATGTCTAATATAAGGTTTTTTAGCGCATATAAGGTTCTCACTCCGTCTGTAGTTTCCAAAGGTTATGTCGAAAAATATATCGTCTGCAACAGGCAAAATTCTGATGCAACGTTAACCAAAAACCCAATGAAAACCGTGAAAATGGGGAGTTTTGCACAGGCGCAGTACGTTCTGCCGACGTGCTGTCTATCTAGTCCTGTGCCTGAAAACATTAAGGGTAGGATCAGGCACGTTTTGGAGTAGTCTTAGCGTGTCAAAGAACATAGATTTGTCCCAGGCATGGATCGGCATACGCACGGCTCTGGATACGACAATTCACTTTTAATTCTCTATGCTGATTCTGTTTCAAGTTTGTTATTCAGCATGATTTGTATGTTTTTTTTATCATCATTATTGCTAAAAGTAATTATTATTATCATATTATATTCGTTATTTTCTTTTATGTTGCTGGACTCCATGAAGAACAGTATGTAATTTACCATACTAATGGAGATAAACAAACAAGCAATTCACATCTTAAAAAATCGTGTAATGTACATTATGAAGGACTATTCTTCTTTAAGTCATTGTAGTTTCCTTATGTGATTTACAACATTTATATTTACAGTTTACTAGGAAGCTACCAGGAGGCTTAAAATCTATACCACTTTCTTTCTTACGTCAAAGATCCCTTAAAACCTATATGTACTTGCCACTTGAAAAATAATAATAATCTGTTGCTATGACGGGTACAAAGATAACTTTGTTACTTTGCACTTAATCGGCCAACATGGCGGACGCTAAATTACGTCATAGTCTCATGACGGACGCTAAATTACGTCATGGTCACGTGACGTCAAATATTCAAATCAGATTCAGCTATCAACGGCATTTCTGTGGCTAACCTGTAATGCATGGCGGGTATCAGTAACCACTCATCCGCGTACAGCTCCAATAGCATGGACACGAGGGTCTGTATGGGGGTTTGGGGTAGCACGGAAGGCTCCGGATGTTTGCGTTCCAGGTACTCTATCATTGAGGTGGTGTCCTGTAGAGTCTTGTCGTCTGGCGTGATGACCACGGGAACGACGTTCCACCCTACCCTGGGGTAGATCATCTTTTCGTACACCTGTATATACATTACGTAGAAGTTATTTTTTTCGACCTTAATGTGTTAAACTATCGGCCGGTGTTTAGCCAAATCTTTGAGCTGGCACGTACGTGTGAGTTGGGTTAGAGTTGGGATCATTGTTTAGGGCTACGGTTAGACTTACGATTACAATTAGGGTTATCATTAGTTTAGATTTAGTTTCCCATATCACGACTTAACCTCTCCCACCCATTATTTCAGGTACACTGGAATCTCCGAAGTATACGTAGTGTCGGAGTCATGTATTTGTCAGGATCATGTACATCGCTTGACACTGGAGGCATTTTTCAAGTGTTCAAGGGGAGGTTAGGGTCGCAGAAGAGCATAGATACAAAATCATTCAATAATATTCATTTAGGTAATGAAATAATAAAATTCATGGCCAATATTACCCGTGAACAATAAACACTGTACGTTGAGGTGAGGTGCTTTTAAGAAAAAACCCGCATTTATAGTTACTCGTCGTACAAAATGACTAATAAACTGGTGGATGTCCCAACTACTAAGTACCTAATACCAGCCCAGAAGAGAACAAGAAATAGCCACGCATTCAAGTACCAGAGTTATCAACCAAGGATTGAAGTGTTCAAGAATTCATTCTTTCCTAGAACTATCGCAGAGTGGAACTCACTGTCACCAAGTACAGTAGGGGCACTGTCAATAGATAGCTTTAAACAATGTCTAGAGCTAGAAGTTCAAGGGTTAGGTGTAACAAGTCGATCGGTGTAATATAGCCAGCTGCCGCCGCGCCGCGTGCCTGCGAAGCTGGTGTGTTACGCCGAAAGGCGGTTATACCGGCTATACAGATACAGATACAGATACAGAATCATCTTGGATCAAAGCAATGGCCAAGGCCAAGGGGGTACGAAGAGCGAGAGTTGAGTAATCAACTATTTATTTATCTCCAAGCAGACGCAGGATGGCAAAATCGCAATGTTTCTTTTACTACTGAATTCTTTTATTGAATACTGTTCTGGCTACGCCAAAGATCTGTTTTGAGATGAGGGGTTGTGGGCAGCCCTGTAGGGTTCTATACAAAGTTGATGGGATGATTTGAACGAATCCTAATTATGCTTACCATCGCAGAAGGAAAACATATTGTTTTTGCTCTGTTTCGTCTTACCCTTTTTTCTTCTTCTCCAAACAAATGGGGTTAATGACCTGAACCAGACGTCTGTCACCATGGTAACTAGTGTTAGGTTGCATCATGTTGCAATTTTATAGCTGGAGGGATTTAGACTCCTGTCACCATATATATGTGTTTGAGTAACAGAGCAGACCATATGCGAAGGTAATATAAGCATGCTTTGCAAATGTTACTTTGAAGTTTCTAGTTATATTTACCTCTTCTGTAGCGGTGACCGAGTCGAACGGAATGTTCTTATACCTCAGGTACGGCCGTATCTTCCCGGAGAAGTAGGACAGCTCGCAGGCCAGGAGCTGGTACCGTCCGGGGGAGGCCATGTTCACCATGTCAGGCACTGCGCTGGGCGGTGTGGGGAATTAAGAAGTGCCGGAGACCCTACCAGGCTTCAGAATCAGCTGGAAAGAGTAGAAATTGGTTAAATAGACAGATAATATGCCAGTTAAAACGTTAGACATCCAGGTAAACAATAATTTAAGAAAAATGAAAATCTACTAATAGATAAATAACGGAGATAACTTCCGGACGTTTTGAGTGACATCCAGCACTCTTCTTCAGCGTCACTAAATGAACTGGGAGAACAAAACGACACTAATCACATGTGAAGAAACTGGAAAAAAACAGTTAAACATAACTCGTAATTTAACATGCCAGTGAAGTTTGTCCGCTAAAGAGTGAATTTTTCGCGGCTTTCGGAGGCTGTCGGGGATCGCTATGTTCACTAATCACTATCTAATATTAGTCTATTTATTTGGCAAATTTCTTATCTTTTCAGCCGGTTCCGAAGCCTGGTAGAGGCTAGTGGGATCACGATGAATGTAGCCTGGTGCCCAGTCTATGCACCGCGATTTGGGCGGGTTCTCTTCGGGTCTGCTTTAGGTCCCAAGATGTAAATTACTCATCAAAACACGTTCTATAAATGCATGGGTTAAACTTGTCTTGTGATAGCAATTGAAATTTATAGAGCACTTAAATTTCTTTTAAAACTCCAGCCTTGTCTTGCGGCGCCCAACAATTGTTGGGTTGGACATACTATACTCCATACAGTACCACTCAAATTGCACTCTGTATGGACTTCGAGGTATTTTTGTGCAACGCATCACACCGCAGCTAAACGCAACGAATGCGGAAGTAACTATGCCACCGTAGATAAGACATAAAATCATGAAAAATATTCTGTAAAAATGCCAGTAGGGCAAGGTTTAAAGTATGTACATTGTGACTGCACAAACTCCCCCTCACGCTCAACTTGGCCGTTACAAAACTACAATCATCCGACCGCCAATGGTTTGGCTTGAATGTATGGGCTACACTTTAAATTCGTGAGAAAGCAAGTATTACTTGTTAAGCAACTTGCGGCAATGTACGGAACTCGCTAGCCTTAGGTAGTGGTGGTGGTAGCGACAAAAAAGGGCCACATATAAAAAGCAAACGATCTTCAACCGTCAACCTCTGCTTGGAGCGTACCATATTCAACGGGACGTCTTCGTGGTGTTCCGGGTCGGCCCACAGTGGGGTCGGCCCGAGGTTGTTTGGCACCCGATAGGAGTTTAGCCGGCGCGGCGTTTAAAAACTTCTGCCGCCCCGTACAGTCGGCTGAACTCCTACCGGATGCCAAACAGCCTCTGGCCGGCCGGAACACCCCGAAGCCGTCCCGTTGAGTTTGGTAACCAGGCTAGGCTAGGAGCTCGCAAGTGTTTATAAACTCCAGACTAAAGCCTGAACCGCCCCTCCCCCTCTCAAATACAACATGTGGACAGACTTGCCCAATGTAACGTACACACAATGTAAGTATAGAAATAAATTTAACCATATGCACCTTACACTTAGGTCTAGCTAGACATAAGTTACAAGTAGATACAGAGAGTGAGCCTACCTGTGGATGTACAACGCGTGACTGCCGGCTCGGACTCTTTTTAATACCCAATGTTGATTCAGGAGCATTGGGTCAAAGGGCGTTGACCGCTCGGTCATACTTCTGGTGCTCTGCGCGATGTTGTGCTATAGGTAATGTTCAAGGGGTAGATTAGAAAAAAAAATGAGAGTTGACCTTTCGGTTGTACCATTTCTTGTTTACTTGTGTCTTGTTTACACCAGGGAATGCCCGCCAGGTTACGGGCCGTTGACCGCTCGGCTGTTAAGAAAAGATTGGCCAAATGATCAGAGGGCGACGACCTTTCGGGCAATTTGTCAGCAGACTCGAGCCCACAGTATAACTTTATACCACATTCTTCGGCGCCACTGCCCCACTTCATGTACTTGTAAGGCCATGTTGATTTGATAATATGAATAACATCCTCTGGGAACCTCAAAAACTGACGCGAGCGTGCAAATAAAAAGAAAGTTTGGCAAAAAAAGTTGCCTTCATTATGAAATCTAGGTGGTAATGAAGGTTGAACAAAGGACTATACACACAGAATAATATTTTATTGGCATGGTGAATGATGGACTCATTTTCAGTCCTTTACATTTTCTTCTTGTCTTTTGAAATTAATTTTGGCATTCTGCGACATAAGTATCGTTTCCTAATATTTTTTTCTTAAATTTACGGCATATATTTGCTAACTTTGCAGCTACTTGCATTTACAGTATGGTAGAATTTTTTTTTTAAACGAACATAATATTCATGCGCGGGCGGATGTCATCCATGGAATCAAATCTACTTATGTATACACCTACGTGTACGTAAAGGTATCTCCCAGTCAACGTTTGCCAAATGCACTCCAGACCTGTATATTGATTGTTTTTAACTGGCAACGGGTCCCTTCACAGAAAAAAATCTGGTTGACATACTTGATGATTTTTTTTTACCGTGCACCTCTTTTATTATCTACCTCTAGCGCTCAAATGCTTCTGTCAGAAAGTCAGTAGTAGAACTACACACGCTATCAGAGAACATACAAAAGCGCCCCCTAGCATTTTGTAGAAACCATGCAAAATATATGGATGGGTGGGATGATTTCAGGGTCGACCATACGAATTTTTAATGATGTCAATAGTTGCACCAAGCGAAGGGAAACTGTTTTATTAACCGCTTCCGTCATTCTTGTCATCATTTCGTATCGCTAAGTTTGCAAGGCTCTGAACCCTTTCTGTGAACAGAATGCAGCTACATTAGGCAATTTTGATTTGATTATATGGATGGCATCCTCTGGGAAACCCAAATTTGATGCGAGCGTGCGAAAAAAAGTTTGTTGCAAAAAAAGTTTTTCATTGTGATCAATTGTAGAACAATTGTTATTTTTATTTTTTGGAACTTACGATTTATGTTTGCTCATTTTGCAACTGTTATGTAAGATTTACAGTATGGTTGAAATCTTTTTTTGGAAACGGCCTAAATTTCATGCGCGCCCGGATGTCATCCATATTATCAAATCAACATTTAACCTTATGTATATTTCACTCTCCAAGCAGACCTAGGTTGGTTGGGAATACTGTTATCTTTCTATCATATGCCTCATTTTCTATCGATTGCCCTACTGGTGGAGCCAACAAATGGGGGATATGATGGGGAAGTCACAATCATCCCACCAACCTCTGCTTGGAGAGTAGCTATATTTCAGACACACAGACACAAAAAAATACTGTAAAAATCATAATGTCCATCTCATTATAACTGTCCAATTAATTGTATGAATCTATAACTAACATGTCGGTAGAAATAAACAAAGTCAGAAGGCAGACCACTATTCTGTACTAAAGAGTGCTTACTTTTAGGGATTATGAGTTATAAGTTTTAAAGCATTTTTCTGGAGATGTATTTAATATATGTGGTAGTCTACGGTATTCGTTTCCCCACAATGTCACACCTCTATGCACGTGCTACATGCGTCATTTCTTTGTGTTGCTGCGGTTGCTATAGTGACTATTCATACCGTCCGTCCTCATATTCTATTTATAGAGAAGAAACGTGTGGGGCTGTGCATCCATTGGTAAACATACAGTCACATATAAAACTTTTTTCTCTACTAAGAATTTCTCCCTTGCATATTATTGACTACATCGTTCCCTTGTTGCATGAATTGTGTTCCTTAGACCATGGAGGTACCTCCATGCTTAGACCTACCGGCCTTGTGTCTAATAGAAAAAAAACGACATCGTGTAATCTTTGAAGAATTGTCTTATTGTAAGGTACATAAGTACCCAGACGCTACATGTTTAGTTTATTTGCGTCCTGTGTGTGTCGAAGGCTTTTAGTAGTGTAAGAGAGCTGTTCCTGATGTTGATTTGATGCCGTCAAGTCGCACACACACGCATACACACACACACACATATACACACATACACACACACACACACACACACACACACACACACACACACACACATACACACACACACACACACACATACATACACACACACACATACATACATACACACATACACGCACACACACACAAACAACACACACACACACAAACAACACACACACATACATACACACACACACACAGAGATACACACAAACACACGCAGAAACACACGCACACACACACGTACATACATACACAAACACATATACACCCACCCACGAGACACACACAAACACACGCACAAACACACGCACACACACACACACACACGCACGTACATACATACACAAACACATATACACACACACACGACACACACACACGCACACAAACTCAATATATTCTTGGGATAACGGTGCAGTGTGTCGAACAAACTGAACTGCATTTTTACCGAAAAGACTGACTTACATCCTCTTTAACAGGACGGTTGAATTTTGTTTTTGTCACAGCGTCCTTCAAAATTTGACGACGACCTACGAAATCTGTGACCAGGCCCTTAGTCACGCAATTTCCATCCACAGGCTGAATATCAACCACCAAACATTTTATTTTCATATAGCTATCACACCAAATTTCTATGCTCATAAAAATGGGAGAAAATCTACAGTGTTACTTTTCCGTTTTAAGTTTGTAAAAAGGACACGGGACAGGAAGGCCACTTAAAGTTGTTGTTGTTTTTTTTTTTTGGTTAACACACGATCGAGGATAATTACATAGTTACAGACCTACGTCAGAGACCATGTTATTGCTATCAACAGGTATTATCGTCACATTGTGTCACTCGTCTGAAAACATGTTCTCATTACTTTCACGGTAAGACCGTCTATTGTCAGCTGTAGGTAATGTCATTAAATTTTCATATTTCATCACTTACGGTCTGCCAGTGGCTCATGTTGTCCCTCGTAACCATGGTGACAGACCTTCAGAACTACGCCTGAACGAGGACTTCTGTGCCCTCCCCCCGTCCTTCTTGTGATCGAGTGTCTAAACACCTTGTTACACATTCAGAACTTTCCCCCGACCGCCAACCGACCAGAGTTGGCTCACGTTCGGGACCACTGTGCAAGATTTAGGTAT